CCGGAAGCCACTCGAATGCAACCAACCTCGCGTCTGAGGGCGAGTGCTCCGTGTGCCCGCCTGGGTTCTCTTGCTTGAGCGGCAGCGCCGCGCCAAGGCCGTGCTTGCCAGGCTTCTTCGCTGAAGAGGCCAGCCTCCCAAAGTGCGAGGCGTGCTCCGCTGGCACATACCAGCCAGCGAAGAGCGCCACCGGCTGCATCGCGTGCCCCCAAGGCAGCTTCTGTCCCACCGGCTCGGCACTACCACGGCCTTGCCCGGCCGGCTCCTTTGGCGACGACTCCGGCCTAGGCGAAGCGGGCGACTGCACGCCGTGCCCCGCTGGCCACTATTGCGTCACGGGCAGCCCTCAGCCCGAGCCCTGCCCAGCCGGCAGATATGGCGGCGAGATAGGCCTTCAAGACGCCGCGTGCTCGGGCGAGTGCGCGGAGGGCAGTTACTGCCCGAGCGGTGCCACGTCCCGCACGTCACAGCCGTGTCCCGAGGGCACCTACAACCGGCTGGCGGGCGGGACCAGCCTGGAGGCCTCGTGCAAGGAGTGTCCGCTTGGCAAGTTTTGCGGCCTCGGCACCACGGTGCCCACCTTCTGCCCCGCGGGCACCGTCGACCGAGCCAACGCTGTCGGCGCGGGAGGCCCCGACAGTTGCGAGTGCCAACCAGGCTTCTACCTTGCCGACGCCATGCCGGACGTCGCCGACTGGGCGTGTAAGCGGTGTCCAAGCAACGCTGCCTGCGACTCGACGACAAGGCTGAGCATGTTGAGCATCGAGCCTGGCTACTGGCGCCTCTCCAACGAGACGGATGACCTGCACAGGTGCCGTGAGAATGCCGAGGGCTGGAGTCCGTGCCTCGGGGGCGCGTCGGGCGGCGATGCTTCATGCACGATAGGCCACCACGGCCCGCTCTGCCAGCTGTGCCAGCCCGAGCATTACTTTTCGCGACCAGACGCAGCCTGTCGGGCGTGCGGCGACGTGACCGCCTCCATTCTCAAGATCGCCGCCCTGCTCGCGCTCTGCGCCGTGGTGGTGGGGGCGTTTCGCGCGCTGGTACTCTCGAGGTGGATCCCGGAGCAGCCGGCGGCGCGAGTCGTCTTGGCTAACCTCCGCCGCGTCGACCTGGTGTGGCGTCAGTGTGGAATGCAAGCCAAGTTCAAGGTCTTGATTGGGCTCGCGCAGGTCGTCTCCGTCATACCACTCGTCTACGAGATGCAGCTCCCACCAGAGTTCGACCGCTGGACTTCGGCATTCGAGTGGGCGTCTCAGCTCTCGCTCGACCTCTTCCTTCCCGGCGAGTGCTACGGGACCTACCTCTCCAACCTAGTCGTGTCGGGTCTGTGGCCACTCGGCGTCATCGGCGTCGTCTTTCTTGGCTCCTTCGCCCAGCAGCTGGCCTCGGCCTGCCTCGCACAGTGTGGCGCCGACGAGAGCGGGCCAACGGCACCTCCGACCCCGAGCAGCGATGACAGTGGCAGCGGCGGCGATGGTGGCGCCAACAGTAGCGGCGGCGATGGCGGCGCCAGCAGTGGCACTGGCGCCGATTCGCGTCTCTCGCAGCGTCTCTCCCAACGCCTCTCCCAACGCCTCTCTCGCGCCTCGTCGAGCACGTCGTCCTTGCCAGGAGGGGCGTCGAGGGGCCACCCCGTCGTCGTCGCGATCCGGCGGAGCGCGCTGCGCGCCCTTCCGCTCGCGCTGCTGACCTCCTTCCTGCTCGTCACGTCGACCGCGACCAAGGTCTTCCGTTCGCTCACGTGCATCGAGTTTCGCGAGCGGGACGAGCCGCCGCTGACTCGCTCCTTCCTCGTCGCCGACTTTGGCGTCGACTGCAGCACTGACGAGTACACGGGCTACATCCGGCCGTGGGCCTACGTCTTCCTCGCCATATACCCCATCGGCGTCCCCGTGCTCTACATCGCACTCTTGATCGCCGCCCGCCACTCGATCGTGGCGCAGCGACCGTCGCCACTCGCCCGCGCGACCGGGTTCCTCTTTGCGGACTTTGAGCCTCGCGTCTTTTGGTGGGAGCCCGTCGACTTGCTGCGGAGACTCGCTCTGACGGGCTTTGTGCTGGTCAACACACAGGGCGCGCGGCAGCTGCGAAGCATCATCGCGCTCATGGTCTGCGTCGCGATGCTGGCGCTGCAGTACGCCTTCTCGCCCTACAGGCGCAAGGGAGATGACCGCCTGAGCTTCGCCGCAAACCTCTCCCTCGTGGTCGCCTTCACCGGCGTGATCACGATCAACGTCTGCGACATCGCGCCGGGCGCCTGCCTCGAGTTCGGGCTGGGCGGGGCCTACCCGGTCGCGCTGCTCTTCCTCTTCTTTGGCGTCTCCCTTCTGGCGCTCTCCGCGGTGGGGCTCACATGGTTTGCGTTTGGTGTCGCCACGGCCACGTCGATGCTCCACGCGGTTGAGGACACCTTGCCGCCGACGCTCACCCTCGACAAGGCGCACGAGTTCCACCTCTTCTTGAGCCACATCTGGGCGACCGGCCAGGACCAGGTGGCCGTCATCAAGCGACAGATGCAAATCATCCTGCCCGGCGCGCACATCTTTCTAGATGTGGACGACCTGAAGGACGTCGGCGCGCTCGAGCAGCATATCGAGGAATCGGCCGTGATCCTCATCCTGCTGAGCAAGGGCTACTTCCGGAGCCGTAATTGCCTGCGCGAGGTGCGGTCTGCGATGGAGAAGAGCAAGCCGCTTGTGCTTGTGCATGACCCCGCCCACGGTGGCATCTCGCTGGAGGAGTCGCGCCTCGAGTGCCCCGAAGAGTACCGCGAGTTTGTCTTCTCTGGCCGCACTGTCATCACGTGGCACAGGATCTGCGAGTTCCAGCGCCTCTCGCTCAAGCTGATCGCGGAGCAGATGCTGCTCGCCTCGCCGAGGTACCGGAAGCGCGACTCGCTCCTAATGTACTTTCGCGGCGAAGTCCGGCCAGAGGCGCTCGCGTTCCGAGCGCCGGTCTCGCTCCGCGTGAGCGAGCACAACCCGGGCGCACGCGGCGTCGCTTTCGAGCTCGCTTCGCGCTTCGAGCTGCTCGACGTGAGCGACGGGATCCCGCCACCGGAGGCCCGCAGCGTCTTCCTCCTCTATCTGAGCCGACAGACCTTCACCGGGCCCGCGGGCGAGGCGCTCGCGAGGGAGGTGCGCACGGCGCGCGCGTACAAGGCACAGATCGTGATGATCCACGAGAACGACGTGCAGCGCGATGGATGCGAGTTCGAGCACTTTTTCGTGACGACACCACAGGACCTGATTGACGCAGGCCTCTACACCTCGATCGCCCTCGCATTCCACCCGACGCCGCATCGCGAGGTGAGCTTGGCGCTGGCGGCCAAGTCGCTGGGCGCAGTCAAGGCGAAGCCGACGGTGACGCCCCTCGCTGATCTCCACCGATCTTCCGCAGTCGAGCCCTCCGTCGCGTCGGGAAAGCGGGGCAGGTGGACCGGGAGCTCCACGGTGGCGGAGCACGACGCCGTCGCCGACACCGATGCGCCGGAGACCACGTTCAATACTGGCAGCGGGAACGCTGTGCACTCAGTCGTTTAATCGCGCACCTTTCTGCAGCCGCCCACCCATACCCGTGCATGAAGCAAACCCTTGCCCATACCCATGCATGCAGCAAACCCTCGCCCACACCCATGCATGCAGCAAACCCTCGCCCACCCACCTACCCACCCACCTTTCGCCCTTTGCTGGTCTCGCTTCCCCCATGCGCATGCACATTATGAAT